AGGGAAAACAACAAAATTGACCATAACAACATCTTCTAGGTTTTATTTTGGGAAATCGAATAGTCTGATAGAGAAAATTTCAGAGGACAGAGAAGTTTCAGAGGAAAGAAAAGTTTCTCTGTTTTCGTAAGTGCAGCGTGAATATACAACAATAAAATTCTACAAGAGTTGCTGGTTATTATAACATAGTAAGTTACTTAATTTGGATATATTAACTACCATAATTCTTAGTTGATTTGATTCCATAATATGCTGTTCAATAGTATCTTCCTAATCTGTCAATGCTGCAACACTGCTGCGGTTGATTTGTTTCCATAATCGTCTCTGTTTCTGTCTTGTTTTGTTTCCATGATGTCCTCCAACGTAACCTTCCTTGTTAGCAAGAAATTGGTTTGTTTCAATGCTGCAGTTGATTTGTTTCCATAGTGTCAACCACCCTCTCTTTCTGTTTTTGTCTTGTTTTCATGATGTCCTCCAATGTAACCTTCCTTGTTAGCAAAGGATTGGTTTGATTCCATGTTGGTCTTACCATGACACCTTCCTTGTTTATCTTGATCTGATTCCATCGAACACTTGTATTTGCCTTAGTAGTCTAACTACCATTAATACTGATAAGTAACATAATAGAATTATCTAGTAAAGTTTGAGTTTAATTTAACAGTTAAATATCTTGTTTGACAAATAACCATCTAACTCCTCCAATGTTTTTGTTTTTTTGTTTTTTTATATATATATATATATATATAATTTTTTAATACATCCCTTCATTTAATAAGTTTGAAACTTCCACAAGATCACCCAATTAATATTACAGACTAGAGACCAGTGAGTTGTAATGTTTTTGTTCACAAGTGTCTACCTGAGCACATAAGAACGTGAAATAATAAATTTAAATTCAAGATTCAATAAAGATACAATGTATATGGTTAACATAATAAGATTTTACTAAAAAATAACATAAATATAAGGCGCATAAAAATATAAATAATAAATTTAAATTGAACAAAATATACAAAATAAAACATGAACATATTAATTTCTAAAAGATTGTGTACTAGATGTCAATGTAATAAAACTAACCAATTTTTTAGCAAATATTATTATATTAGTTTTGGTCAATGTAGATTAGTTTTATTCTCAATGTTGTATTAGAAGTGATTATTAATTATTTTATTAATTTGAAAATAAAGGAACTTGGGTCAAACCAGCTTTCATCACAGCATGAGTGCTACACACCCCTTGTGTCTGTCACTATCACAAAATTAACATAAAATAATAAAAACACAGATAAATATTTCATTAGAAATTTCTAATGAAAATATTGACCGAATAAGAAAAAAATAAAAACAAATCAATTAAATTTCCATCAGGAACTTGACACATCAGTATTACTGATGGAATTTCCATATGATTTAAATGAATTAAACCCCATACTTCTCTCTTCCTCCCATTTCTTCTTCTTCATTTGCTAAAAACACAACATCACCCCCCTCTTCAAATCTCTTCAAATTTCAACAACTCTCTTGCAAATCCAACCACTTAACCTGCCGATGTCGACCACCATTTATCAATAGCATCATCTTTCTTCTCTTGGTTTTATTTTTTTGTCAAATTTTACACCACCAAGTTAGTTTTAAGTAATTTAATAGGTACCAATTATCTTTTGTTAATTTTAACGTTCAATTAAAAATTTGGAGAAAATTGATTTATTTGGAACTGACAATGGTTTGGAATTTTATTCAGATGAGATGAGTTAATTTGATGAGTTCTACAAGTATAAAGGAATTGCTAGACATCACACTGTCAAGTATACAACACAACAAAATAAGATTGCAAAACATATAAACACGAAATATTTGAAAAGAGCATGTTGTATGTTTCTACAAGCTGGATTGTCAAAGGACTTTTGAGCTAAAAAAAATGAACATGACTTATTATCTGGTGATCATCATCAATAGTTTTAGAGTTGACGACTTATTATGAAATATAATCTAGTTCTTTTACTGGTTATTTTAAATCGAGAGAATTTGGTTGTCTTGCTCTCTCTTTTTAAGGCAAAGGAGTACAAGAAATGCCTATGAATAGGCAACAGGAAAAATACAACAAGCAAGATTAAAATCAAAATCATCGTATATTTGATTGTCTTATTTATACTTGTGTTAAAAAATATATGATAAAACCAAGAGCATGAAAATTTCTTAGGTTATGTGCATCTAGGTTAAGAGATATCAATTATAGTGTGGTAATTCCAAATCACCCAAGTTTATTAATAACAAGGATGTATTGACGAGTCTGTTACGTTTTACAAAGTATAAAAGTTGACTAGTGTTAATGGTGAGATACTAGCAAGCTCGTTGACTAGCGTGAATGTTGAGATATTTACAAGCAAATGGAGATCGAGGCTATAGCTTCACAAACAGTGCAAGCTGTTTCAGCTGAGCCTGTTAAGGAAGTTGTGCATTATAGTGTTGATAAAAATAGACTAGAAAAATAACATTACAATATTACAGTCAAAGGATAAATAAAAGCACCGGTTAAAGTATACTTACGCTGATTTAATTGATTTCGCCTTGAATGTTATAGAGAATCTTGATTATCAAAACTTAGACAAAATCCACTAAGAGGAGTCCTTAAAACAAAAAATGAACTGCCATTTTTTTTTTTCTAGTTCAAAGAAAATACCATTGCCATGCACTCTACATTTTTATTAATTTTGAAATCACCACACATATATAACAAGAAAATGACACATCTTGATTATATTATCTTTCTTCTGACGAGCATATCCATACACATTATATAACCCAACAGATAAAAAAAACTACAGATGCAATCTCTAGACTTAAGTTTGTCATCGACAAAATCTATCCTGATTCCATCCTCTTCTTTAGCCCTGCAAATACAAAACATTGATTTTGAAGTAATTTTCAGAAAAAATAACATGTCACGTAATCTAAAATAAATATTTTAAAGAAATTATCCTTGTTTTAAAGATAAGTAGTTGAAAATAACAACAAAATATAATATGAGTTATGTTATTCATTAAGCAATATAAATAAATAAGTTCTACTTGATCAATATGGAATCATGCCTACAAATTGGTCATTGATTTTAATATAACCTAAGAGCACTTTAATTTAGAAGAATAAAAACAAAAACATTAAGAAACAAAATTTGAGGTGAAACTACAGAAAAAAATAAAAGGAGGATGATAAAAAGTAAAATTTGTCGACTAGAGAGTACTGATCTAGTATTTGGATGGCTATGTTCCGAAGCAAATCATGCATCTTGACAGCACTACTACCATCAATTCTTTTCAATAAGCAGACATTTTCTAGTCTATCAAGAATTGAGTTGCCATTGTCAAGTGTTGTTTGCCTGCTCATTTCATTAATTATCCCCTCCTTGATAAAAGACTCTATCAACACTCCCCTTTTAATAATATACCATTGATCAAATAATGTACAATATACAAAACATTGTTGTACTGAATCATCTAAACAATCATAATATTTGATCTTCCATGTCTCAAAAATTTGATTCTTTCAATCTCTTCAATGTAATCCTCCACTTATGTAGGTCATCCATTCCCTTCAAACTTTCTGTTAATGTAACAATTTTCAATGGCAAATCAGCACATTTCCTTGCAACATCTACAACAATTCATTCTATCGATAGAGAAAATGGTTTGTCATTTTCAAGCTTCTCTGTGAACAAAGTCCAGGATTCTTCATAAGAAAAAGTATCCACTATTATATTGTTTCTGCTATTGATTTGCTGATAAACCATTTATAATCGAGTTGTCATAATGAGCTTGGATCATTTCAATGGGATAGGAATCCCCACTACTTGTGGCTCAAAAGAGTTCCACAAATCATCTAAAATGAGATTCCATTTTTGTTTCTTCGCTAGTTCTTTTGTCAGTTTGATAGCTCTAGATAGATCACCGTCTTTACTTTAAACATCTAAATGAAGATATTTAGTAATAAGATCATGCAATTCTTCAATCTTGAAACTTGAGGCACATTCACCAAGTAAACACTATGAGAAATGTCTTATCTTTCAAGCAAATACAATGATCTGTCTGGAGCTGTCAAACTAGCAAAAGAACTAACAAAAAAACAAAAACGGATTCTCATTTTAGATGATTTGTGGAACTCTTTTAAGCCACAAGTAGTGGGGATTCCTATCCCATTGAAATGATCCAAGCTCATTATGACAACTCGATTATAAATGGTTTATCAGCAAATCAATAGCAGAAACAATATAATAGTGGATACTTTTTCTTATGAAGAATCCTGGACTTTGTTCACAGAGAAGCTTGAAAATGACAAACCATTTTCTCTATCGATAAAATGAATTGTTGTAGATGTTGCAAGAAAATGTGCTGATTTGCCATTGAAAATTGTTACATTAACAGAAAGTTTGAAGGGAATGGATGACCTACATAAGTGGAGGATTACATTGAAGAGATTGAAAGAATCAAATTTTTGAGACATGGAAGATCAAATATTATGATTGTTTAGATGATTCAGTACAACAATGTTTTGTATATTGTACATTATTTGATCAATGGTATATTATTAAAAGGGGAGTGTTGATAGAGTCTTTTATCAAGGAGGGGATAATTAATGAAATGAGCAGGCAAACAACACTTGACAATGGCAACTCAATTCTTGATAGACTAGAAAATGTCTGCTTATTGGAAAGAATTGATGGTAGTAGTGCTGTCAAGATGCATGATTTGCTTCGGAACATAGTCATCCAAATACTAGATCAGTACTCTCTAGTCGACAAATTTTACTTTTTATCATCCTCCTTTTATTTTTTTCTATAGTTTCACCTCAAATTTTGTTTCTTAATGTTTTTGTTTTTATTCTTCTAAATTAAAGTGCTCTTAGGTTATATTAAAATCAATGACCAATTTGTAGGCATGATTCCATATTGATCAGGTAAAACTTATTTATTTATGTTGCTTAATGAATAACATAACTCATATTATAGTTTGTTTTATTTTGTTGTTATTTTCAACTACTTATCTTTAAAACAAGGATAATTTCTTTAAAATATTTATTTTAGATTACGTGGCATGTTATTTTTTCTGAAAATTACTTCAAAATCAATATTTAATTCAATATTTATTTGTATCTGCAGGACGAAAGATGAAAAAGATGATGAAATGAGAATAAACTTTGCTGATGACAAACTTAATTTAAGAGATTGCATTTGTAGTTTTTTATCAACTAGGTTATGTATTATGCATGGATATGCTCATTAGAAGAAAGATAATTCAATCAAGATGTATCATTGTCTTATTATATAGTTTACCTGGACGTGTCTGCCTGTAAAAAAAGGTTCTCCAAGTGTGTAAAAGTCGTTTTTCATCTCTCGTCCTGCAGATACAAATCAATGGTGGGGAGGTAAAATAAATAAATAAAATGGTAGCACTAAGAGTGTGGAAGAGATTGAAAATTATAGCATACATTTTTCTCACAATTTTAATTACTGTTAGCAAATAAATAACAAGCATGTTGTTTGATGGTAAAAAAGATCATACATATGGTTCACCTGCAAATTAAAAGTCGTTCTCCAAGTTCTTTATAGTTACTGTTTTGCTTAACCAATCTGGAATCAAATTGAAAGCTGAGAGAGAAAAATGGTTTAAAATAGGTATTGAGGGAAAGGAAATGAATATATGGAGGCACACAGAGTTTAGATGGAAGAGATTTTTTTTTTATGTCATAAATTGATTTAATGAGGACTCTAGGAATATTTTGTAGGTGTTTTGAGCCAAAAAAAAATAAATTGAAAATAAGTTTTTGGGTTAAAAAATAAAACATCATGTGTCCCATTAAACTTTAAAAAAAAATAATATACACTTACGCTTGTCATTGCTTGCTTGAGCCCATAGTTTTGAAACCCGACCCTGTGATTGACCCGGTCTAATGATCGAGTCACGAGTCTAATAGGTTGACCTAGGTCAACCCCCCAAAAAAAATACAATACCCACCAATTATCATGAATTAGACACAAAATGCAAAGCAGCATTTATGCATCTATAAGCAATTCGCTAGAATGACAATTGTAATTCAAGATGATTTCATATGAAATTCTACAATGTCACTGACAATCCAATTATACACTTCAGGCTTGAATATAAGGTCGCCAGTTCTACAAAGAGAATGAATTCCATTGAATATTTACTTAGTATTACTTTTTAAAATATATATTTTTGATAAATATATTAAAATAATATATATTTTTGTTTTTAAAATTTTATTTTTAATATAGCACGTTAAAATGATTTTAAAATACTAAAAAATATTAATTTAAAAAAAATAAAAAAATCACAATTTTTTTAAAAACATTTTTGAAATATAAAAATAAAAAAGCCTAAACTTCTTTCCATCTAATTTTAAAACAAAGCCCAAACAAAGGATTTGTTATTGGGATAAGCCATTATTTTTTAAAATATATTAAAATAATATATATTTTTTATTTTTTAAAATTTATTTTCAATATTATTATGTCAAAACAATAAAAAAAAACATGAAAAAATAATTTTAAATTCTTACCGAACAACATTTCAAACTTGTTTCCAAAAAATATATCTACTACTCTTAAGTTTTCATGGCTGAATTTTCCAGTGCTGACTTTTTAAGGAAAATAGAAATATGCAAAGCCTCAACAGCGCTGAAGTTAAGTAAAACAAAAAACCTTGGTGTTTATACTTCAATTCCTTTCAAATTTTAGTAATCGCGCATTTGTTGAAACTATTCATTTCGGTTCTCTATGTGATTTTGCTCTTCATCTTCATCGTTATGGCTTTTTAAAAGGCCAAAACAATGTAGTTTCATGTATTTGTATATATATATATAAAAAAAGAAAGTCGGGTCTCAATCAAGTTTACCCAGGTTGCCAGGTTCCAGGTCGACAGGGTTTAGCCGAGTCAATGCCCCGGTTCGAGTTTCAAAACTATGCTTGAGCCAAGTGCTAGACATGACCTACTAGGCCTAGCCTATTTTTTATATAATTTTGTTTTTTTTTTTCTAAAAATGATCCATTAGTTGACATTGTTCAAATAAATTTGGGATTTATGTTTTAATTAATTTATGATGATTGTTTTAATGATATTTGGTGCACTTAGTTTTTCAAGAGGTAGGTATGATTCATCCGTAATTTTTTCTTAATTTTATATAGATTAAATTTTTTTAATATTAATTTTTTTATAAGATTTTTCATATGTGCAACCTTATATTTTTTTTATTCAATAAATTTTATGTGTTTGGTTTTTATTACAAATTTTATGTATTTTTCTTTAACAAGTTTATTTTGATTAAGAAATTCATTAAACACATGAAGTTAAATTACCCTTGTTGCCAAGAAAACCAAAAAAAAATTGATTACACACACAAATAAAACTCAATTTTCTATCAAATTTATCTTAAAAAGTGTACTTATATGCAAACAATAGAGTTTACGTAGAATACTTGTATGTAGAATACTTGACTGTGTTATTCTTCTCCAACAGGAGGCAATATATAAATACAATTACTCCTAAACATTTGGAGACAAAAAAGGAAAATAAAGAGATAAACATGAAAGCAATTCGTTCCTATATATATATATATACAAGATTGATCAACTAATCATATCTCTAATATTAATTAGAGAATCAATCTAATATTGTATACAGCTCATGCATACATTATATCAGTGACTAAACTGTAATTTCTTGAAATTCATGGGAGAAATCATAATTTTTCAAAATTCAAGAACTAAACTGAAATTTTATCATCTTCCACATCTAAACAGATGTTCCAGCATTTTAACATGGTTCTTTCAATTTAATTCTTTAATTATTCACTATTTTCGATCAAACATTTCTAAGGTCTTACGCAAAACAAATCAACATACATACATACATACATACATATCAATTATTCATAATCTACCTTAAGAGTAAAACATTTGCTCAGCGCTCTACCTCAGATGACAGTTCTACTAATTGAGTAGAACATTTGCTCAATCAAACAGTGAAAACAGGATAAGGAACAGCATACAGAGAAGTAAAGAGTAAGAACATAAACTCAATGGATTATGGAAGAAAATGGCACTGTCATACCGAAGCTGCAGCACAGGTAGTCATTGTCCGTTTGACAGCCACAGGAGCAAGAGTAGGTTCCACTGCTGATGTATGTGGAAGACAGGGCTCAAGATCAATGGTTCCACCTCCTTTCTGAAATAAACAAGAAATTAGAAATAACCATGATTGAAGGCATTTCTGGACTAGGATTTTGTAGGACAAAACAACAAGCAGCAAGCAATATTCGTGAAGATGGCAACAGCAATGGTGCTATGACATCCTCAGACATCTCTGAAGGTTCTCAATGAATCGCAGAAAAATGGAGATTAAAACTACAATTGTGAAATTCTTTCCACCACCTTCACGATGCAGCAATGCTCAACACGGTAGCTACAACCAATTCCAGCTCCCCAGGCACGTGAACGAACATTATTTCTCAGCATAGAAATGTAGCCTAATGCACATATCAAAGTGAGTGTTAAAATTCCACACAAGTAAAGCATGGATGATAAGGACACACATGCAGAAAGGCAACACTAGCAAGAAAAGTTTAACCACGTACGTCATTTAAGTTTCTCATATAGCTATATACTATTATAAGAAGTATTGTCATCTTGACAATTGACAAAAGAGCACAGTTCAAGCATGTCGAGTTTTTTAAGAGCTCTAGTTATCTACTTTGGAACATGTCTTTGCATCCTTGTGATTCACTTGTGCAAACATGGATATGGATTATGCATGACTTTGATGTCAGCAAAATCGATTATACAAGGCCAATCTCAGACACCATTACAAAGTTGACTACGCTTCAACCAAAACCCAAACTACTCTAACCATCTAGGTGATATCATTGTTTTCACAAACTTCCAACATAAGAACTTTAAGAAACAACACAAATTTCATTCTGAAGTAAGATGTAGAGACACACAAGTTCAAATGGATAGCTGTCTCCAGATTTGTAACATTTACATGAATTATTTGACTGCATGATCATGATGTGAATGTGTTTAGAAATGGCAACATCATGAAGAGAGCGAGATAGAAGGGGCTTACTATCTTGTGAAGGCAACACTCTGATAGTAGCACATAACTCTTGGATGGCCGGTGGAGGAGGAGAAGCAGTGGGACGGAAGTAGCCTGTATGCATGAGAACTGCAACAAAATTGCAACATCAATATTGTTTCAGTTCACATATAAACAAATTCTACAATTGTTACTGTTCATCATATCACAGCATACCAGCGACAAGATCAGAGACATTTGTATATATGTCTCCCATAATTGTCCACCTCTTACCTGCACTTAATAAACTTAAAGACCTAAGGATGGGCATACTTATCCAATAGCTAATACCCAAACATGAAGGCATCAAACTATGGAGAGCAGAAATCCTGTAATATTAGAGCTAGCATGTCAAATAATTGCTCTTATAGAGGCCTCTTCTCTTCTAATGAAAGTTGACCATCTGACAATTCACAGTAAAAATTTGTACACATCAGAACATAAAAGGCACCCACATAACATACAACTTATCTACCAACAAATTGACCTTAAAATTTAAGAACAGCCATATCTTTCTAAAATTTGGTTTGCAGACACAAAACACACATAAACATATAGAAGGAACCAAACCCCACACAACCGATCTCATCATTCAATTCCAAACCTTCCAAAACTTTCAGATAAAGGCTAGTTAAATTCATGTAATCAAACTAATAAGAATCAGACAATGAAGAAATCCTTATTCAGACAATGTGGAAAGGTTTGAAACTTTTTAAGGAAGCTGAAGGAGATCCCTTCATGCAACCCATTGGACATAGCGCACGAATAAATTTCCAGCTTCATAAAATGGAAATGGCAGCTTACCTTGACATCTGCAAGATATAAAGGAACTTACTTATGATGAATTTAGACTATAGTTTACTATTGAATTATTAAAGTGGAATGATGCTCAATTTAACCAATCTAAGAGAACCAACATACTAAAGAATAGATGACAATGACAAATTTGGTTAAAGGTTTCAACAACAATAAGAGTAATTTTATCTTTAGAAACTATCATTGTAGGATAAATCTCAGGACACTTAGCTCCAATAATAGCAGTTTCCACTTTCATATCAAATATTTTAAAGCAAGTTTCCACACGGTAATTCTCAATAATCCAAAATCAATCATATGGATAACATATTTCCAGTTAAAACAGCAATTGAGAAGAATTGAAGAACACACCCCTCACAGTCCTGAGTATGGGACATAAAACGGGGTTCACAATTTGCCACTTGCGGGCTGTCCCTCGGCCGAAGCATCCTCTTGCGCTGCTGGACTCCATAGTTAAAAACTCCTCTTTCCCTTTCAGTTGCAATTTCACCATCTGCACATCCATCATCAGATTCTTTCCTGCACATCGTGCTGCCCTTCTCAGGTCTATCTACTTCTATGTCAGCTTCTCTTTCTTTCTTTTTATCTTTAGCTTCTTTATCAACATTTTTCCAGTTATCAAAATCTTTCTGTTTCTTTGGCTCCAAAGCTGGATTTTCCTGTTCTGAAATTCTGACAGATCCATCCACAGATTCCTTTTCAGTGTGCAAACCCTCCTTTTCAGCTCCAGTTCCTGATTCTATTTTCATGTGGTCCTTCTCCCTCTCTTTTAACCTTTCCCTGTCTTTTGACAGATCCTTCCTCTCCCACTCCCACCTCTCTCTTCCTTCACCGACTCTTCCTTCAGCACTACTGTTGCCTACTTGCATACTTCCCCTTCGGTCACTTCTTTCCTTATCTCTGTCTCCCCATTCCCGGTGCTTCAAATCTTTCCTCTTCCTATCCTTGTCTTTAAATCTATCCTCACCTTTCAATTCAACTTTATTTTCTCCAACTGCCTCATGAACTTTGGCATGATCCCTTTCCTCAATACTAACACCTTCCTTTCCAATCTCAACAGGGCCTTGGGAATTTCCACGTGATATATGCCAAGGATCCACATGTCCACCTGCAGATTCCAAATATCTCTTTCCCCTATGGTATTCTTTTGGTTCCTTCCAATTCACCTGACTACTTGCAGGACCAAAACCATCCTTTTCTATCTTCATGTCATTCTTCGGCTCAATATGAGCTTCTCTGTCATGCTTTACTTCCTTATTGTCATCCCCTCTACTCTCAAACCTCACATCCTTTTCATGTTTAACACTTTGTGAATCCCTCTTTACCTCACCATACATCTCTCTTGCATCAGTCCTTGGGTCACGGTTTTCAATCCGGTAGTCTCTGCTGTCCTTGGAATCCCTTGATTCAGTCCTTCTTTCAGGAGCAACATTCAAATGAGAATCCATGTGTGATTCATTTGAAGATGGTGGCATTTGATACATCAAATGCAAAGGTGATCTTCTATCTACATCTCGAGATTCAGTTCTGGGAATCTTAGCCACCCTAAAATCCAGACCAATCTCATGTGGCAGATGGTACTCATTTGAAACCCCTGATGTCAGCATGAGATACGAACCTGTATCTTCATGAGGAGAGAATTTCAAAGAAGAAGAATGACCACCCTCTTCATGCGATCTTTTAACAGGAGCACCACTCATACTCTATATCACCAACTTAACCTAATAAGAAATCAAAAAACAAAAAAATAATCCCCTAATAAATCGAGCATTCACCCCCCACCATCACAAAATAAGAATTAACCTTTCTTCCAACCAACCGAAACCCTCCAAATCCAAGTACAAAAAAAAAAGACTTAAACTAAAAAAAACACCAAAATGGAGTCAGCAATGGTCGATATAGACTGCTTCAAAAACTTGAAACAATAAAACTATAAATAAAATAGTACACTTAAAAAGTCAACAATCGACAATGGCAAAAAAGTTTCAAACTTTCACACTCTCACGAATCATAAACTTGAAATTGAAACTCCTCCTCTCACAAATTACAATGAGAGGAGAATAAATCAACAAGACTTTCAAAATGGACCACCTTTCTCTCTAAAAAACTTTGAATTCTAAACACAAATCTTCAATAGAGCAATCTTTTTATGGAAACCAAAAAAAAAACCCGAAACATAAACCAAACAAATTACTCAAAAACATTGAAATGGAAAAACTAAGAGAGGGTTTAGTTAGTTTCTTTACCTTTGTTGTTGCTGTTGCCTGTGTCAATTCCCTGTCTGCTTCTTTCTTTCTTTCTGCGTCTTTCTCCGCTTTTGCTCTGTTTTTTTGCTGTTCTACTGTACGCTAAGCTAGCTGAAGGTAAGCCGAATCCAACGCTTGCCTATTGGGCTCACACATATTTTATTCATTTACAGCCCGTAGAAACAAAAGTCCAATTTATAATACGAGGAATAAACAAAAGGCCCAAGAGTAGGGTCATAAATTAGCCTAGTGTACCAGGTCAATTCAAAATAGTATATTTTAAGATTTTTTAAAAAAATTAAATAATTTCGTTTTCAAAATATAAAATAAAATAAAATAATATTGAATTCTAAATTTGACATGGCCAAATACCAGATCAACAAGAAACTAGACTCATTGGTTAAGTCAGATTTATAATATTAGAAAAAATAGTTATAAATCCAGTTTAATTCATTTTTAATCAAGATGGGTTATTATTTTATCATATTCTTAGTTGAATAATGTATCAATTCTTACTTTAACTTGTTCTTACTTTCCTACAGATTAAGGTTAATTTCAATTATTATTTTTTTTGCAATGATTTATATGTGCTGATTTGAGGTTATTATTTTCTGTTTTGTTCCGTTTTTATTAAAAAAAATATTTAAATCAATTTTTTTTAAACACCGCAACCAGTTCAAACTGACAGATTTTAGTTTGGTTTTTTAGTTTTTATTTTAGAACAAATACTAGTTCAAACAAATTTGACATGATTTTTCCAGTTTGGCTTAGTTTTTGTATTTTTTCAATTTTGCTCGATTTTTTTATTTGACTCGGTTTTTTAAATTTGACTTAGTTTTTTTCTCGTTTGGCTCGATTTCTTTTCGCTTTGGTTTCGATTCTGTATTTTTAGTTTTAGACTTATAAAATTGAAATTGAACCAAACCAGTCAGTTTTTTCAAAATTTTAATTGATTTAATTAGTTTTTTTCACGGTTAGGTTTTTTTAGTTTTTTTTTTCGGTTTTCTTAGTTTAATTTATTTTTTTATATTTTTGTTACCCTGAATAATATTTTGAAATTGAATATAAAATAAGATTCGAACTTTGAAATATTTTAGTATTAGGATGAAACTAAGAAACCAATCAAATCACCCAATAATTAATTCAAATCAATAAATTATATTTTCATCATATTTATCTAATGATTTTATTTGTTTTTTGTAATTTGATGGGCTTTTTAACATTATTCATGTGGATGATAATTTCACTTTACTTGGAAGGTTTTCAATTTCATCTAAGCTGATTGTATAAGACTTTGAGTGAAGGTTCTTTGTCTCACTTTACTTTTAAAAATTTTATTTTTTATATTTTATATTATACATGTTATAGCTTTAAATCTTGGATTAATTTTGACAAATTAACTCTGAATTTGGATAGCGAGACTTAAATAAATTCAAATTAAAAAAAGAATTAATTTAGTTAAAAGCTTGGAATAACCCCATTAACCCAGGTCTTACTCAAAACTAGATAATCAACTTGTAGTATTTTTTTTTTATCAAAATAATATTATTTTAATTAAAAAAATAAAATTTACTCAAGTCGAATCTCTAATATATGACCTACCGATTCGATTTTAAAACTATGACAAATATAATTAAAAGAAGAAGAAGAAGAAGAAGAAACTCTTAACGCATCACTCCAAAATTGATCTGAAATCGATGTAGTTGAATTTTAATTAGAAATCAATGGCACTTTCATTATATCAATCCAAAAAGATACTCATTGAATTTTAATATTTGATTGGCCTTTTCAGCATTCCATACGAGTCAGCAACGCTAAGAACACCCAAGGAAAACTAACCCAGCCGAGTCAAGATCTCTACAGTTATTGTAAAGTAAACAATCGCAAAATCGGTGGCATTTTCACCCTTGTGTCTATTGGGCAAGGTTTTCTGTTGGCCCAACAAAACAAAACTAAACTGATTTTTTGTTGGATTGATCGGCCTTCTTGTATTGGGCTTGATCCATTACTATCTGGCCCAGCAAAACAAAACCTAAACTCAAAACCGAAGTCAGAGTAATTCTATTATACTCAAAAAATATAATTAGTGGTATTAGTAGGGAGTAATTTGAAAACTCAATACATAATGCCTGCCGTTTGTTCTGCCTTCTGCTCTTATTAGTAGGGAGTAATTTGAAATTGGAACCATAACAAAGTACTGATCTGTAGATATCTGCTAAGCTAGCTTGACTCGGCCTTTCCTTGTGAGCCATCCATCTGACATGTAAAGCAATCCTAGCCGTCCCTTAGAGAAACTCTGAATTAACACCCCTCCCAGCCTCAACCCGCCTTCTTTCCCGATTCCTCTTTCAATTTTGTTTTGCAGACCCATTTCCATGCTAGAACCCTAGCTTGCTACATTCCACCCCTCTTAAAAAACGTCCATGGTGAGGGTGAAGGTCACTCGTTCATTGCTAACTAATTACTTTAAAAGTTTATAATTACTTAAATATATCATAGAACTGACCTTATACCCTTTCACAAATCCAAATGTAAAAGAAGCCCTAAATATAAAATAATTTGAACTGACACCGTAATTAGTATCTGATTGCAGATCAACTCTGCAAGATGAGGTTGATAAATCCACATGGGAGTTTTTGAATCACCAGCAGAGTTTACCCTAAGTTGGCTGTGCATGAAGAAGCTCCCTTGTTCATGTTTAACCATGGAAATCTGCGCGTAACGATTTCAAGGCTGAATGCTCGGAGCGATTATTTATTTTTATTTTAAATTAATTTTGTTTATTTTAATATAATAATATAAAAAATAAATTTTAAAAAATAAAAATAAATTATTTTAATAAAACACCCATTACTCTGGATTACTTTGTGCATTTCCACAGTCATTCTAAGTTGTATAATTACCTTCCTGTTTTCAAAGTTTCAACTACAATTGGATTGACATGGAATATTCAATAGCTTGTTCCTGGAATGTATTAAAAAGTGTATGTGTTACAATAATAAATATAATTTTTAATCCATAGTTAGGTTATAATGAAATTTAAAAAAATCGATGTGAGAAGTTGTTTTTCACTTTTATTTTTTAATTAGTTAGGTCAGCCTTGCTAACATGTAAATAGTTTAGTATGTTATTTTTAGAATAAATTAGTTGTTGAAGAATTTATTAAAATATTTATTTTTCATTGTACTAATATTAAAAATAATTTTTTTAAAAATATATAAAAATATTATTTCTATGTATTTCCGGGTGAAAACATGTTAAAAAACATACACAATCACATTTCTAATTATACTTCCGAGTTCTATGATATATGAGAAACAAAATTTTAAACAAACTTAAAAACAAAATTGATTAAAAATCAAATTTAAAAATAGATAATTATTATTATCTTGATTTTTGATGATATTTTTAAATTTAAGATTATAAAAGAATGATTAAAATATATTATAATCCTTTATTTATTTACAAGTTAACAAATGACATCTTTAATCAAAATTAATTTTTAATCTTTTAATTTTAAATTATAACCCTTTTAAAATTAAATTAAATACAATGGATTAAAATTGAGTTATAATAATATTGATATTATAAATAAATTTTTAAAAAATATATTATTTTAATATATTTTTAAATAAAAAATTACTTTAAAAAATAACATGCATTAACTAACAGTAGTTTAAATCTCTTAGACACTGTCTGTGCTACTCTTAATTCATTTGCTTTTCTTCACCACCTCTTCTAAAACATTCTCCTATCTCACTTTCTTTCTAAAACACTTGGAGAACTGCTTTTTGAAGGGAAACCAAATATATCTTTTTTTGCCTCTTTTTTTTTTTCTGTTTATTGCTTGATTCTTTCAATTAAAACAGCCTTCAATTAAAACAGCATGCTGGTTATCAAATTAGTAACTAATTGGATTCGTTCTATTATTTATTAGATAAATTCAATTTATAAAAGTAAATAAAATTACAAGAAAAATCATATACTATAACGTTTAATCTCTTCCACACTTTCTGTGCTATCATTTTATTTATTTATTTATTTATTTTTCATGATCACCACCATTTCTAAACTATTTTTCTCTCTCAAATCTGTGACAATAACCTATTTTTGAAGGCAACACGTCAGGGTAAATTATATATCTTTTTTTGTTTTACTTTTTTTTTTATTGCTTGATTCTTCCAAGTAAAACATGGTTAATTAAATTAGTTACTAAGGTTGGTATTGTTTGCTTCTTATTCAATTAATATTTTTTCATAATAGGAATTCATGATCCATAAATATTTAAAGGATTTGTTATAGTTGGGTGGTCTTTCCTTGCCGATTACGATTTTGGGCTCCTCTCTCTGTATATATATCTTGCAATAAGTTGAAGTGTTTATAAAGGCAAAAAAAGGGCTGGATTCAGTTGTACTTTTATTCTATTTTTCATTACAAGTGTTAATTAATTTATTACATGTAAAAAAAGGTTACAGTCATTTTGAGCTATGCAATTACCTCCCTATTTTCAAAGTAGGGAGGTAATTGCATACTGTCTTTTCAAAACCACAATGCAAATCGCATGTGTTTTCTTTTTATTTATTTAGGTTTGATAATCTTAATTTAATTTTTAAATCAGTTTAATTAAAATATATATAGTAGAAAACTTAATTAACATGGACTATTACTCAGCAATAGCAAATCCTTTAAATATTGGTGAATAGTGATTTCTTATTATGAAAAAACTTAATTAAAAAAATCACCAATCACGGTAATTTAATAACAAGCATGCCGCTTGAAAGAATCCAGTAATTAAAAACAAAATGGAAAAAAAATATATAGTTTACATGGCCGTGCCTGCCTGCAAAAAGAGGTTCTTCAAGTGGTGTGTATAGTCACGGGTTTGCTTAAGCAAACAGGAAAGAACAAAGAGATCTAAGAGAAAAGAATGGTTTAGAAATAATAGTGAGGGAAAATAAATAAATAAAATGATAGCATAAAAAACATGGAAGAGATTAAACTCTCCGGTAAACGTTTTTCTCCCAATTTTAGCAAATAAATAGCACGCATGCTGTTTGAATCAAGTAATAAAAAATAAAAATGGTAAAAAAATATCATAAATATGGTTCACCTGCAAATGAAAAGCGGTTCTCCAAGTTCTTTAGAAGTAATGTTTTGCTTAACCAATCTGGAATCAAACTGAAAGTTAAGAGAGAAGAATGGTTTAGAAAATATGCTGAGGAAAAGGAAATGAATGAATGGAAGCACAGAGAACTTAAATGGAAGAGATTTTTGCTGCGGCTGGTGGTGAAATAATACAATAAAACAATGGAGGAACATAAATAAAAATTACTCAAGACAAGGGCACCCCTGCTGGGAAAAGGGGGGCGGCACTGCTGCGGCTGGTGGTGAAGGAAATTCGTTGCTGGGTCTGCGGGTGCTGCTTCTCCGTTGCTGTTGGTAGTCTTTCGAGGGAGAAGAAGACGCTGCCGATGGGGGAAGGAGATGCTGCTACACAGTGAAAGGGACAGTGTGTGGCTGGTCTTTGGGATCGGTAATAGAGAGGGAAGATGGTGGATGTGTTCTGTGCTGTTTATGTTTTTAGGGTTGGCGGCTGGAATCAATGGAGAAGGAGAAGGCAAACGATGGAGGTCGGTCTGGTAGAGGAAAGAGAAACGAGGGTGAGGTTATTTTTCTGAGGGGGCGACGGCTCCTGTTTTAGGGTTTTTTTTTTTTTTTTAATACATGGATCTGTATGAGATCCCTGTTCTTTTTTCTTTTTCTCTTTTTTTTTAAATGCTACCCTACGTTTATATATATATATATATATATATATATATATAATACTTGATGAGGAACAAAGTTATAAACAAACTTTAAAAAAATAATTAAATTTAATTAAAACATCAAATTTAAAAATAAATAATTATTATTATTTTGATTCTAGATTATTTTTTAAAACTGAAAATTATAAGAAAATGACATAAATATATTATAGTACTTAATTTTTTATAAATTAATAAATTATATCTTTAATCAAAATCAATCTCTAAATTTTTAATTTTAAATTATAACTTTTTTAAAAGTAAATAAATACAATAGATTAAAATTGGGTTATAATAATATTGATATTAAAAATGAATTTGAAAAAAATATTATTTTAATATATTTTTAAATAAAAAATAATATATGTTGACACAGCCGCGAACAAACAGTAGTTTAAATCTCTCAGACGCTGTCTATGCTACCATTAATTCATTTGCTTTTCCTCACCATTTTTTATAAAACATTCTCCTATCTCAGCTTTAAATTATTATTGGGTGGTATGCCTTGCCAATTACGATTTTGGGCTGCTCTCTTTGTATTATATATCTCACAATAAGTTAAAGTGTTTATAAACGCAAAAAAAGGTTTTAATACATGGATCTGTATGAGATCCCTTTTCTTTTTTCTTTTTTCTTTTTCTCTTTTTTTTTTAAATGCTACCTTACGTTAACTTTCAGTTTAAAAAAATAATCTAGAATCAAAATAATAATAATTATTTATTTTTTAATTAAATTAAAAAAAATTAAAGTTTGTTTATAACTTTGTTCCTCATTTAGTATTATATATATATATATATATATATAATACTAAATGAGGAACAAAGTTATAAACAAACTTTAATTTTTTTTAATTTAATTAAAAAATAAATAATTATTATTATTTTGATTCTAGATTATTTTTTTAAACTGAAAGTTATAAAAGAATGACATTATAGTTCTTAATTTTTATATAAATTAATAAATCATATCTTTAATCAAAATTAATCTCTCAACTTTTAATTTTAAATTATAACCTTTTTAAAAAGTAAATAAATACAATAGATTAAAATTGGGTTATAATCATATTGATATTAAAAATGAATTTGAAAAAATAAAAAAAAATATTATTTTAATATATTTTTTAATAAAAAATATTTTTAAAAATAATATATGTCGACACAGCCGCGAACAAACAGTAGTTTAAATCTCTCAGACACTGTCTATGCTACCATTAATTCGTTTGCTTTTCCTCACCATTTTTTCTAAAACGTTCTCCTATCTCAGCTTTAAATTATTGTTGGGTGGTATGCCTTGCCAATTACGATTTTGGGCTGCTCTCTCTGTATATATATCTCGCAATAAGTTAAAGTCACAATAAGTTAAAGTGTTTATAAACGCAAAAAAAGGGTTAGATTCAGTTGTATTTTTATTCTATTTTTCATTACAAGTTTTGATTAATTTGTTACATGTAAGAAAAGGGTTGGACCGCATTTTTTCAATTTATTTAATTTTTTTAAAAGCTTCAAATTATTATTTTTAATATTTTTTTATTGTTTTAATGTGCTAATATAATGATAAAGAAAAATACTTTGATATATTTTTAAATAATATTTTTTTAACAAAAAAACACCATCCATCTTAATTCTAAATACCAACTTAATAAGGTAAAAATTCACATGTTCCTATAAAAACTATTCTTTCTATTTTTTCAGAGTATAGTTGCGGTTATTTTTTAAAATATTTTTTATTTTATAATGTATTAAAATAATATTTTTTTATTTTTAAAAAATTATTTTTAATATCAACACATCAAAATTATCTAAAAACACTATAAAAATATTAATTTAAAATAAAATAAATAAAATAAAAAAATATTTTTTTTTCAAAAACAACCCAGGATTTAATAGCCAACCACAATTGTCATCATTCAATTTACAACATGTCTTTATAGATAATAGTGTCTCTATTTTTGTATGTAGATACATTTATTTTTATATTTTAAATGTGATTTAAAAAAAATATGTAATTATTTTATTTTTATTTTGAATATTTTTAGTAATTTTATATTATTTTAATATGTAGTTTCATATAAGAAATATTTTAAAAAGAAATCATTATTATAATAGAAGTATACTATTTCTTCAATTTATGCATGAATGGTGTTTTTCTTCGTACACCTTGTTTAGTTTTTTTTTTCAAAGTGAACACAGTATCACAAATGAATAATCGCCGGATTTTTAATTTAATGCATAGAAAACATTAGCCCGGAGATATTTCATCATGGTGAACCCCCAGACTATAACACTTCATTCACTATTTTCTTGCAACAATCTTGTCTTTAACGTGTATAAAACCTTAACATATCTCTTGCCCATGTTCTGCCCGCTCTTTTAAAGTGCAAAGACAATTCAGAGAGGATACCCAAAAGCACAAAAAAACTTCACCCCTGAACTTGCCCCTCTTGCGGACAATAAGAACATCAACTTGAATTTAAAAAATAAAAAATAAAGGAGGGCAACGGTTGAGAGGCATATGTTAGGGCCAGTATTTTTTTATTTTTATTTTTCTTATGAGACTTTTTTGGAACTTGCATATAGATTGACCATCTTGATGCGAGGTTCTACATCACCTATGGTGATTCAATTTTTCCTTGGTGTTTTAGAAAGTTACAACTGCTATATGCATCACAGACATGCTTCTTGTCCCTTGTCTTTTATGATTTATGATTTCACTTATTTCATTGATAATTGTATGTTTTTGGCTACTAATAAGAAGGGCTAAACTATGTCTGTCTAAGCACTTTTTTTCTGTTATTTGGATCTACTTACGTTATGATGACTTCTCTCTTTCAGAATGCTTTGTGGCAACAGAGATTTGTACACGTAGTTACAATACAGT